TTGCTATTAGCTAGAGAAGAAAAAGTTAAGTTTTCCTACCCTTGTAAGTTGTATGGAGAATCTGCCTTGTGAAGTTTTCCTTAAGCAGTAGAGAAGTGGTAGGTGACCAAGTCTCATATATATAGCTAGCCCCATATTTTTAAAATAAATAAATGATAATAATGAGTTTCGGATTTTGAGCTATGAAAATGAAAAATCTCGTAAGCACGACTTCCTCTTTGATGATCTTTAAGCCACACAAATCTGAATTAGTCTGAACAGTGAATTTCAAATATCAGATAATTAATAATAAGAGTTGGGTAGAGTGCTCGTTATTTAGGGTAGGTTGGGGGTGAGTAGAAGAGTAAGAAGTATAACTTGGATTAGCTATTATGACTTCCTTGATAAAACCTCTTACTTAACACTAAGCAATTGCTTGAGCGTTAAACACTCCTTAAAACATTGGTTTTTGGTGAACTTAATAACAAGTACTCATTGGTAAAACACCAATAAAATGAGGTATTGATGACATGAAATTGGGGGGGGAAATGGTTCAAACATGAGAAGTGGCTTAAAAGTATAATAAAAATTTATTCCAAGTTTGAGGAATTAATCAAAATTCTTTATTGAAAGATTAACCCCTAGCTCATCTTTGCTTTTAATTTAAGTATATATAGATATGAATGATCTAATCGAAAAATAACAATAATAACATATTCAGTGTAGTCTTACAAGTAAGATTTGAAGAGAATAGGATGTACGAATACCTTAATTATCCCTATCTTTGTAAGATAGAGAGACTTTCTCTGATAGACTCGCAACTCCAAAACAATGAAATCAAAACAGAATTAAAAAGAAAATAATTTTGTGCTTAGTTGGATGACACTTGCCATATAATGGCGTTTTTCTAATTATACATGATTTATTTTGGTAAGACGACAAAGGGAAGACTCCTTTTGCCTACTTCACTTGGAATAAAAATAATGAATTACAAGACAAATATAGATATGTGGTATCTAAATAGTCAAAATATTTGTTGATTGAAATGTTTAAAATTAAAATAGCAATAAGATTCAATATATTCAAAGGGGGATTAATTGAATAAGGAATTGATGTGATTAACTTTATAAGTTAGTACATCCATTTGTCTTAATGGAAGAAAGATTAATGTTTATGAAAGTGACATCAAATGTGGTCACAAACTAATCCGTGAAGGTTATTATTTTTAATTTATAAAATGTTTGGATAATTTTGTTGAGTAGGTGAATTGTGATAAGATAGTGATTGTTATCTTTACTTGCTAATAATCTAATTTAATTTGTTTCATTTTCCCCTCCATTTCTATCAAATACCATTGATGTATTTTTGGTTATAATAAATTTAGTGTTTGTTTGGTTATCACTTATCAGGATAAGAATATTGATCCCCATATAATACTATTAAGAACTATATTATCCTATATATGGTTACAAATATTAGCTAACATAGATAAAGTTTATAACGTCTTAGAATTATTTATCACATATATAATATATGGTAGTAATTTCATTATATTATAATATAGAGTTCCTAATTCGTATACATAGAAGATTATCTTATTCATTTGTTCAAAATTGTCTTGGAAATTAATGATTGTGTTGTTTATTTAAATTCTATTATTATGACCTCTATCACTAATGAAATTATTTCTTTGTTACTAATTAATCTTGTAGAATATATGTAGCAATGCCACATTTCCCTCCAATATAAGTACATCGTTTTCTTACTAAATCCCCATTAAATAGAGTTTAGACTAACACAACAATAAGGGCAGCATTATTAATTTGTAGTAGGTGTTGATGTGTGTATGTCTTTTAATGTCTCAAGTCGTAATAGATTGAAATACTCATTGACGTTTTTATAGAATTCAAACTGATAACTTGTTAACCGTTGATATATCATATATTTTTAATTTGTATAATCCTCTTGAATTGTTGTTTATACTCTGTCTGAAACAAATGACTTTACTTTTACAATTTACCATTGCAGGTTCATCCGAACCCTCTACTTTTGACACAAAATATAAATTTAATTCATCCAACAAACAATGTATCCTAGCTTATAGTAATGAAATAGTTATCCAAAATATTTTTCATTTTTTTTTTTAATAAAAGAAAATGTTGGATCAATTTTGCCAATCATAGGACTAGCTCTGTTTCCAGCCCAACTATTCCCCTCTCCCAAAAAGCCCAAATAAAATCAGCCCATAGCTACTTTTGAGGCTTTTTCCCAAAATATTACTCCATTTTATCGTCTAACGCTTGTAATAATTTACAAAAACATGAAGTAGATTGATAGTTATGGACTTTCGACTTTCGTTTGAGTAAACCTTGAAGATCAAAAAATCAAAATTATGTCCTTTAAATAAAACAACGTTAAAAGTTGATGACCATCGACTTTAAAGGGTATTATTGTAAATCACATAAATCGAAGACCCATATTTGACCTTGGAGATTTGTGTTTATCAGACTTTACTCATGACCACAATTAATTAACTCCCAATTTCAGTTCAGGTTTGCCAAATGTTGTTCAATCTCTGACTTTTGGCCTCTCAACTTTTATCACAAATTAAATATTTTTTCTAAAAAAAAATTCTTCGTTTAATAGACGGTGTTTGAAATTAATATTGATAATATGACATAATAATTTCAATGTATCGTAATATGAAACAAAAATAGCTTAAGCGAATCACAAATAACTTACATATCACTAAACAACAACAATCTTTAGCTAATCCTATGAATATAGTTTTACATTTAGAGATTATTAAATGTCTAATTCACATGTTATTTTATGACTAGGAATGTTTTCAGGCAGTAATTAAATTGAAGTATTAATTACAATAAATATAGTTGTAAATATCAGGCATTGGGTTCATTATTCGATGTGACTAAATTTTCTGGACTCCAACTGCTACTTTAATAGCAGTGTTAATTAATGAATTAATTTTCACAACGTTTCCCATAAACTAAGTATTGAAAATGATGTATTTGAATATAAGTATTCACATTGACAATATATAGTTCAGTATGCTAAAAATAATTGTTCAATTTGAAATACTAAGTGATAATTTATCATTTTGTGTCTACTTATTTCTCAATATTTAGATAATTTTTAATTAATAGAAATAATATTATAAAATTATCTTTTTATTTATTATTTCTCATGAAGAAGCGTTTCAAATCAACCATGAATAAATAAAAATAAAAGAAAGGAGTATAAGTTAATTTATAGACTTAAGGCAAACCTATCTATTAATTAAATCAATAAAAAATTTTAAAAAAAAATAGGAAAGGGAATAGAGGCATATGCATACCATACTTCATTAGTTATGGTATCAGATAATTAATTTCTTATCTTATCAAAGTGCAAATTGGCGTAGTAATAAATAAAAGGGAAATAGTAAGAGTCATATACATTATGGATGAAATGGAAAAGACAGTGACACTTGAATTACCTCTGCATTTATAGTTATGTTGTTTAAGATTCTTTAAAAATATTGATAGATTATATGGATTTGACTTTTCAAAAATATCAATAAATACGCATCGAATTAATAATGCACATATTTTTGGAGGTTCTATAACTCTTGAATTGGATTTAATTTCTTTTACTTTTAAATTTCATTTACAATTAAATATTATCATATTTGAGACAAAAAAATAATTAATTAAACGCAAGTCATTAGTTCCTAGACATATATATAGGGAGCAGGCAGTGAAATGAAAGGTGGTCACTATAGTCACAGCCTAGTTACTGGAAAATGTAGGTAACTATAATTATTAGTATTATTTATCTATTTTTACTTGTTCAATATTATTCAACGCACATTTTTTATACAAAAAAAACTGAGGATAATTTTACTATATTAACTTTGAGTATAATAACTAAATTCAACATTTTAAAAAAAGGAGTAGTACTTAATATTAAAATAAAATAAAAATAGAATAATAAATTGTCTCTTAATTTTCCGAAATAAAATTAAATATTTGATCCCTTTGAATGACAAGTACGTGTTAGAAAAGCCCATAAATCCACTAGCTCTTATACCAATATATGTATCATTAATATACATCAACTTTTTTTCACTATAAATTCTCCTACCCCTCTATATGTTTTGTACCATCAACCTAATTTTGGATTTTATAAGGAGTACTACTTTTATCTCTCTATTTTTTTACTTCAAAAATTTCCATATTAAGTTTTCATTCAATCTATATGTCATATGGTTCATTTTTTATTTTTTTTGCAGTTTCATTACTTTGAAGAATACATTCAAGTGCTGAAATATTCAATGACAATGAAGAGCTTTTTCATATTCTATGTTGTTTTGTTGCTTGTCTCATTCTCTGGTATATTCATAATTTGTACTTATATCTACATTAACATGTTCAATATAATTTTACAAGTAGAGTCTGGGGTGAATATGATGTAGACTCTACATTTGTTGTGGTAAATAGGCTGATTTTGGTAGATCATCGACTCAATAGAAGTATAATCAAATATCATTTGAATATTTCCTTCCCCCATCATTATTATTATTGGACTTAATGTTATGCAGAGAGTGTTGCTTATACATGCAAATAGTTTTTAAGTTTTGAATAGTCTCAATTTCATAATTTTTAAATGAATGTTTGGTTTGGCTGCATGTGATCAGACCAACACGTATTATTTTCAGGGGAAATTAATTGAGTTCAAACTTATACTAGTTAATTATCATGTTTTGGTTATTAAATTTAATCTACTTGCATGCATATATATAGCCAACTATTTTCTAGTATGTTCATCTCTGTCTTCTTTTTTTTCGGTTTAATCCTTTCCAATTTTATAATATACCATAGGTACTATGTACAATACCTTTCATGTAATGTATGCATAGTGAGTCGTGAGAACTTAGTATATCAGACTGTCTCTTTTTAGTTTTGAAACAAGTGATGTTTATCTTTTGATTGTGCAGTTGTACACATTAATAATGCTTTGGAACTAGCTCATGAAAAAAATGGTGCTGGCCTAAACTACACTGTCAATCCTGCTAGGAAGTTACTACAACTACCTGGTAATTCTTTTTTCAATGTACAAAAAGGTGTTCGACTGATCACCCTTCACGTGTACTTTCTTTGTCAAAAATTGAATGAATAGATTTTCTTTTGTTTATTTAGATATTGGTGAAGGTGATGGTATTGGCTATATTGGTGATGGTAATGACAATGATGGCAATGTTGGTGGTGATGATGGTACTGGTGGCTTTGTTGGTAATGGTGGCGATGGTAATAGTACTGGTGGTGATGGATCAGAAAACAGAATAGGGGAAGGTACTTGTTCAAATAAATTCATTCAAGTGAACCAAGGTCCATCAGCATCACTTCCAAGTGGTATACCAACGTATACTGTTATCGTCTTAAACGCGTGTTTCTCAGGAAGTTGTAGTATTTCTAACATTCACTTGAGTTGTGGTTGGTTCAGTTCAGCAAGGCTTATTAATCCAAAGATTTTCAGAAGACTAAACTATAATGACTGCCTTGTCAATGATGGACAACCTCTCACTGCTGGACAATCTCTTACTTTCTCATATGCTAATACTTTTCCATATAAACTTGCTGTTTCTTCTATTGTCTGCTAAGTCAGATAGTTTGTAAAAATCTATCTTCTTTTGGGAAGTTTTAGTAGTCTTAACTTGTCTATGGTGTTGCTAATATCTTAATGGCACAATGCAAATAATATCTCTTTCTATTTTGTTATTACTGTTCTGTTTCAGCAAGAATGTCTTTTGTAGTGTGTCATCTATCCTATTCGTGATGACTGTAAAGTTGTCTCTGCCTGACCTATATGATAAGAATTCAAGCCATTGAAACAACTGTCACAAATGTATACCTTGATTATGTGTAAACAACACATCAATCTAAAACAATTGTGGTTGACTATATGAATCCTTACTGATCATCTCTTTCATTTATGGACACCACTAACATAATTATAGAAGCTGTAATCTGTAAATAGGGAAACATATCAAACTGAAATTAAACTAACAAAACACTAAAATTAAGAAAGTACAGACAGATCAAAATAAGTTGAAGGCAAATTATATTACTAATTGAATTCAAGCATAAACATACAAGGAAAATCCCTCTTGGCCAGCTTTCGCGCAACTTAACTAGTTCCATACGATAGATGCCATCTCCCACCATACCAGGTAACTGTGTCCACTTTATGTATTAACAAAATTGAAATCTAATAGTTATAATCATAACTAAAATCAGTAACACCAACCATAGCAGACACCACTTGAGAAACAATATAAAAACTGCCTCCCATTATAGTCAAAATCAAAATTGCAGAAATGGGGTTCTTCAAAAGTTCATAAATAGGCTGAAAAACAGCCCAAAGAACTCCAGTACTAACTGTCAATGCATAAAGACCATATCTTCTCATATTTTCCCAAAATTCCTCCATTAATGGACCTTCAGGACCCAAAGCTAATGCCTGATTTTTATCATCAAAACCCATTAAAAACAACACTACACCAACAGAAACAGCTCCCAATACCAAAAGATTTGATCTTTCCTTAGAAATTTCACTTCCTGATAATTTCTTGGATTTGGGCAAAATTTCTAGAGCTAGTGGTTTCACTATGCTTCTTTTTTCTGAAGCTACCTGGTAAATTTCTCTTTTCCCATATGGGAATCTTGAATTTTTAATGGGTGATTTGTGCTTGAGTTGAATGAGTAATGGAAGATTACAGTGTTGAAAATGGAGTTGAAGTTTCATTTTTTTTTTTGAGAGAGAGATAGAGCAATGAAAGGTTGTGATTTTAGTTTGTTTCAATTTTTGCAATTTATACCTTATCTTCTTCCCTTTATTATCTTTATGAAAAATGGGCTTTTTCTCAACCAAACAGATTGATTTCAAGGCCCAATTATACATCTTTGTAGGACTAGCACATATTGTCAAAACTCAAAAGGGAGAAAAATGAGATCTTTGCACGAATAGCCGGACAAATTTATTATTTATTTTTACTATCCAGTATATATAGATTATATATGATCGTATAAATACTATACATGTATTATACATTTGACGACTATTTTTAGTTTAATTAGTTAGGTGGACAACTGTTTAGTTTAGTTCTTCAAAAATTAAGCACACTTCACTTGAAGCCTGGTTGAGGTTTTTTTGTTTAACCATTTGATATTCAATAAATTATGCCTCTCTTCCAAGTAAATTAAAGTCTAGCATTTATGTTCTTATTAACCATATTACTCAATTTAAACTTAATTGTTTTCTTAGTTTCATACTCCCTCTGTCCCTAGTTACTTGTCCACTTTTAAATTGACACACATATTAAGAAAATAATTAATGACATAGTGACTTTACCATTTTAGCCTTATTAATTATGAAGTGGATGAAAAGTTCTACATTTTTCAAAGTAATTAGTTATTTGATATAGGGTATAATAGGTTAAAAAAATTTGTCCTTTCTTGATTTGTCAAAATGGACAAGTAATTAGGGACAACTATAAAAGGAAAAGTGGACAAGTAATTAGAGACATAGGAAGTATTATTTGACTCATATTGTATTGCCACAATTCTTTAACAAATTTTTTATTAGAAATATATTTTACTAAACTAACTTTATTAATGATACTTTTAGGGCTGCGTATCGTTCGGTTCGGTTTTGAAGTTTATCGGTTTGGCTTATTGATTATCGGTTGTAGAGATGCTAAACCGTTATAGAACCGTTAAGATATCGACTTATCGGTTATTGATTTATCGGCTATTGATCGTTATTGGTTCGGTTATCGATTTAACTATTGAGATTTGACACAAAGAAAATCATTGAAAATCACTTAGAAACAAGGGGACAAACCAAATGAACCATGCACATGAGTTCATAAGTTACATCTTGCTCAAAAGCAAACACTTTAATATTGTAGAATAACCAAGAGTTTGAGACAACAAAAAATAAAAGTAGGAAACCAAACTCTAAGTCAAGGATTTTATATACAAAATGGTATAAATATAATTATTTAACTTACTATCGAGTTATCGGTTAACCCACTAAGAAAAAACCTCAAACCGTTAAGAACCGATAATTCGATAACAAAGAAATCAAAACCGTTATCAAAACCATTAAACCAATAACTCATTATTGATAAACCAATAACTTTTTTTCGGTTCGAATTATCGGTTTCGGTTCAATTTCGAACGGCCCTAGATACTTTCAAACTTTTAATTTGACTATTACTATTTTACAAAGTTATTTAATTCCAAGGATCTAAAGTTAAAAATATAATAAAACTGTTTTGATTTTTAAATTGGACAAATAAATAAAATATTTATTTTTATCACAGGCCAAATGATATGAAACTAGGGGAGTAATAAATTTTTAAAATTGAATTTCAATAGTAGTAGTATTTAAGAGTTCATTTTTATTAGAATTCATAAAAAAATAAAAAATAAATATTTTTCTGAATTTTGTGTTTTTTTAGTATAGAGACCAAAACTCAAAACCTTTGAATTTTGTGTTTCTTCAGTCTTGTTGCTGCCACCATATTTCACAAAATCTCAAAAGGCTCAACCTTTTGCTTGTGTTGGCAACAATGGGGCATTTGGCTTTTTCTCCCCTTCTCCTTCTTCTTTTATTCTTCTTTTACTCTTTACTCTTATCTTTTTCCCTAACCGTCGCCCCTTGTACAACAAAAAAACCCAATTCAGTATTCTATGGCTTTTCTTTCCACCTCTGTTTCTTCCTAAAGCAACAATCTTTTACTATTTTTGAGGTGAGTTACTAGTTACGTGCTTAGTTTGTTTTCTTGAATTCTGGGTTCTTGCCTTTTTTGTTCCTTTTCGAACCCTATGCTATTTGTTGCAAGTATGATCACTTCATGTGCTGGTTTAATGTTGTATGTTTTTGTTATGGTACATGGTTGTTCTTTGAAAATCAGCAAACCCCATTTCGTTTTTCACCATGTTTGGGTGAATTTGGTCTTTGGTTAGTAATCTTGAGAAAAAAGATCTCTTCTTTGTAGCTGTTGTATTTGAGAGTTTTCTGTAATTAGGTCAGTTTATCTTTGGATTAAGCAAAATTCTCTCTCTGTTTCATTTGGGGTTGTGGTTTGATGCTGTTTTCATTGTTTATATGATCATCAGGAGCTAATTGTTGGGGAAAAAAAATCTCTTCTCTATAGCTGTGTTGTATTTGAGAGTTTTCTGGAATAGGGACAATTTATCTTTGGATTAAGCAAAATTCTGACTGTGTTCCATTTGGGTTGTGGTTTGATGCTGTCTTTTCATTGTTTATATGGTCATCATGAGCTAATTGTTGGGAAAAAATCTCTTCTTTATAGCTGTGTTGTATTTGGGAGTTTTCTGGAATAAGGGCAGTTTATCTTTGGATTAAGCAAAATTCTGACTGTGTTCCATTTGGGGTTGTGGTTTGATACTGTTTTTTCATTGTTTATATGGTAATCAGGAGGTAATGTTGGAAAAAAAAATCTCTTCTCTGTGTCTGAGAACTAAGGAGGATTAGTTTGCTCCATGTCTTTTGCTGTCCGTTTATATTAGTAGTCATACTATTGCCCCTATAGTTTCTTGTCCTTCGATTTCTGTTACGATCTGTTGTTCCTTGTACCTTGATTATCATGTTGTTTCTGTAGTCATGTTTTGTTACTATCTGTTGCTGTTGTTGTTACTGATGATGTTGTTATTATCTATTGTTTTTTGTACTTCTGTTACTTCTTGTTCAGGACTGCTTTGGATTATTTTTCCAAAATGATTGTTACCTAAAAATGATTTTTTGTGTTTGTGGATGAGGGTGTTTAAGAGCTGGGCTGTTTTTTGATTAATCCGAACTGTTTCTCTATGGCATCAGGATGTATACAAATAATCATGTATTTATTTCGTGGGAAGAGCGCGCTGTTTCTCAGGGGAAGGACCATCATGTTGTGCACTACTACTTGAAGGATTCATCAGGGGAGATGATCCTTGTTGGGGTGAGTACTGAAAGAAGTGCAAGGCACATGGTATTTGTTATCTCAGAGGATTATTTGGATGCTTTTGGGCATACAAGTAGCATTAATTCTGGAACAAAGTGGCGTGTAAAATGAGATATAGTGGAACAACTGATGTTTTTGATTTCAAAGCATCACAAATCACCACCTATTTCAAGTATGTATAATCATGTAGCAGTCTAAGGTTTCAGTTACATGAGATTTGAAGTATTTGTTTGCGTACATTTCTAGTATCTATTATTTCTGAAGAAGTTGATTGTAGATTCTTGGCTTCTTGTTACACACAATCAATTTAGAGACGGCAGATGTCTTATATGTCTAAAAGCAACAATGTTCAAGTTCTGTGAATATCCAAACTTTATCAATGTGATGGATTAATATCAGTCTCACTTTTTGTGTACTATTCATTGGTTTACAGTGCTTTGCTAATCAATAAGAAGATGAAAAAAAAATCCCCATTTTGATGAGTTTGTAGATGAAAGATCTTTTGCTTTCACAGGGAAGAAACTAAATTTTGTTGCGATTATTGTTTCCCTAAAGAAGCCTCCCTCCCGTGGGTTTTGGGGAGGGAGCAGTGGGAGATGGTGAAAAGTTATTCCCAGTTCCATTTTTATTTCGAGATTTTTGTTCCCGACTTCAGTTTTCCAGGCACAAGCTGAATTTTCAATTTAGTTGTGCATCTGGATTTAGCCTAGACTGACTCGAGACAAAGATTCCTTACAACTCGCACCAATAGCGGCACTAAACGTCCGGAGATTGATTGAAAAATCAGGTCCAGCTGAACCTCTCCCCCCCTAACCGCCTATCTACTCGTGTTTGTAGCTCGATCGGAGGTCAAGACTGTGGTCCGACGAAAAAATAAAAGTCATCTATATCAAGTGATACATGAATTGCTCAGTAGTGTGTACTGATGGTAGTTCTTTGTATCCCCGAGATGAATAATCCTTGTTTGAAGAATGAATGAGAAGTTATCCTTCTAAGTAATTACTTCATTATGTTTTGTTTTTACAAGGAAAGTATAATTTGTGCTCCTTGTTTTAACCACAGTTGCCTGTGTGTTGTTGTTCTTGAAAAACGTGCATTGCACAAGTTTGTGGTTTAGTACAATATTTTGAGAATGAGGCCTTTTTTTTGGCTGATTCAAACATTATAAGTCGTTCAATCCTAAAGTCTAAATTACTATGTGTTTTGGTCTTCAGTTGTTCCGTTTAATTGTTGAAACTCGTAAGTTAATATAGAACAGTATTATGAACAATCTCGTGACATCTTAGCATTAACTACCAGTATATATTAAAGTTGCACCATAACAGTGCAAAAAGACGTTACAAAATCCAAACCAAGCTTAGGCTATTGCTTCACAAGGATACTATGATATCAACCAATGTTTCAACCTCCTCAGCATAGCTTTCTTTACACCAAAAATAAAACAAAAAATTACCCACCATGTTCAAGAATAGTTGCCATAATTTCCCAATCACACGACAATGAATGAGTAAGTGGCTGTTAATTTCCCTAGCAGCTCCTCACAAAAAGCATCTAGAACACAGTTGAAATCCCCTTCTTTGAAGTTTATTTTGTGTGAGACAAACATTTCTTCCTACGAGCCAAGAAAAGCACACCACCTTAATTGATTGATCATTCCCTTAAGTTGATGGAACTAAATAGTTATTACAGATAATGTAAATAAATAAAGAAACTAATAAAATATTACACAATCTCCTAACTGCCTAATTAAAGGGATTAGGAAATATTCTCATATCTAGACTATTTAATCATACTATATTTAAATATTCTTTATCTACAATATCCAAATATACCATAATTAACACTCTCCCTCAAGGTGGAGCGTATAAGTCATACGCTCCTAGTTTGCCACAAATATAGTCAATTCTGGATCCTCGGAGTGATTATAAAAATATCCACTAGCTGATCTTTTGAGTTGACAAAACTTGTGGTGATATCGAATGAAGTGACAATCTATCTCAATGTGCTTCGTTCTTTCATGGAACACTGCATTAGAAGCGATATGTAATATTCTTGGAAAAGTTGTCTCAACCACATAAGCTCACATGTAGCTAGTGCCATAACTCGATATTCTGCCTATGCGCTTGATCTAGTTAAGAAAACTTACTTTTTACTTTTTCAAGATATTATATTGCCTCCAATTAGAACACAATAACCTGAAGTGGACCTCATGTCGGAAGGAGATCCTGTCTAATTTGCATCAGAGTATCCAACAATGTTGGTGTGTCCCTTATCTTCATATAATAAACCTTGTCTTGGAGAGTTTTTGATATATCGCAGGATGCAAATCACTACATTTTAGTGACTATCACAACGTGATTGTAAAAACTGGCTAACTACACTAACAACAAATGAGATGTCTACTCGCGTGATCGTAAGATAGTTGAGTTTGCCAACAAGTCTCCGATATTTGCTAGGATCTTTAGAGGCTCCCCTGTCCTGGAATAAGCTTAGTATTTGGATCCATTGTACTGGCCACATGTTTGCAATCCAACATACCACCGTCTTCCAAAATGTTTAAGGAATATTTCCTTTGTGTTTTAGCAATACCATGGCCAGATTGTGCCACTTCAATACCTAGAAAGTATTTCAGCTTGCCCAAATCTTTAGTCTAATAGTGACTTGAGAGGTGTTGTATGAGGAGAGGATTGTCCAAAGTCCACATAAAGAGACCAAATTCTCATCCCTTTTTCGATGTGTGAATTCTTATGAGCTAGCTTTTGGGGTGTGAGTTAGGTTTAAGGCCTAATTTAACATGGTATCAAAGCAGCCATCTCACCCAATGTTGGGGCCCCCAAAAATCAAAATTGCCCATGCATGAGATGCTAAGTACAGGGAGTGAGGTGGCGTGAGCTAGCTTTTGGGGTGTGAGTTAGGCCTATACCTAATTTAACAAACACATTCCCTGTTGTAAAGCGAAAACAATTATTATTTTTTTTAAATTCTAAACCTTAATATCCTACTAGGTCCAATTGAAGATTATTATTTATAATATGCATCTCAAATATGCCACAAATGACCAACATTTCCAAAAAAATCTTATTTGCAGGAAGTGCCACAATGATAGTATATATTCAATCTATTGTTGACCTTTATCGCCAGTTCAACTGGTTGAAGTTGTACATAAACTTAATTGCCCTTCAAACTCTAAACCGGGTTATTACCCAGTCAATTGTTTTTGCAATGACTTGGCTATTATCATGCTTTGTGATAATATTGTGGATTTTGAGACACCCAACCTTTCGTTGGAATCCTTCCACAAGAGAATCAATAGTGTTTCCTCATCCACAATTTTGCCCGGAGGAATTTTGGGATTGGCTTATGACTCAACTAGTGGCGACTATAAGATCCTTGTTATTCACGATGTCAAATATAGTGGCGGCTGAATTTTGTTGAATTTTATGTCCCCTAATATAGCTCGTGATCATTTATATAGACTTTGGTTTGATTTGCTTGGTAAATGTTGTCATAATATTGTTTCCATATTTCAACAATGAATTCTTTGTTCTTCTTGATGGTTATATGCACATGAAGAATTTATAGTGTATGTGCTCATTCAAATCTAGAAGTCTAAGTAACTAAGTTTGCAAAATACGGTGTCTCTTTTTATAATAACCCAAATTTTAATGAGGGATTAATTGGTAATTTTAACCCAACATAAATAATAATAATAATAATAATAATAATCTTATTGCATAGGAGCGGGGATTTTACCCTGTGCGCACCCAAAAGGTAGCGGCTGCGGGTTTTCCTTGTCATAAAAAAAACAAAAAAATAATAATAATTAAGAGAGTTAAAAGGAGTGGGCCAAGCCCATTATCCTATTAGGGCAATTGATTCCTTAAATTTTGGGAGAAAATAAATGAACTCATTGAGAAATGTTTTGTGGAGTTCAAGGACGGCAAAGAGGAATTTCATAGACTACTGTTTCGGGTGATAAGCTTCAGGTATTGGCATAAAATTTGACTTATGGTGGTTTATATGTTGTAGACATACAGTATATGTGTTGCATGAATTTGCAGAAAGTTATTATAACCCTTACCTTTATGATGATTAGCTAATGATTGGAGGACAAATGATTTGACAATGATTGGTGGTTAGTGAAATTGGATTTGTAATATTGGGTTTAAAATCTACTGTGGAAAAACCATGTATTTTTTTAGTGATGCAGTTTAAATTTCACCACTTCTAACTAGAAGACATTAGGATTAAGAAGTGATTGGATAATAATGAAAGAGAGAGATATCGTAAATGTAAAAGTATTGAGACTTGACCTTGGCTAGCATAATATTTTTGCATAGATTGAGGTAATTGGAGGTTGTTTGGTTGGTGTTTATTCGTTGCAAGGTTGGGAAACTCATGATTAGCAAGGTAAATGAGACTTTGAGGTTTGGTGCTTGCTTTCTAAAATTTGCTTTTAAAATGTGTTTTGTCTGCCTGATCCATATGTTGGGACACGTGTGTGCTTGGCAAAATCGGTGGTCTTTGACGAACCGCATATATGTTATTTTGAGAAGAATATAAAAAAATATTTAATAAGTGATTTGTGGTGTGGCGTGATCTCTTACCATGGCATTAGGGAGTTGGATATTTTTCCTTCGCTGTGGTGATATAGTTACTTGGGGCATACATACGCTACCGTAGTATGTTAGGGACCTTGTACATGATGCTCTGGTTTACGTTTGGAACATTATATATACTGCCGTGAAATTGTTAGGGTGCTAGATTGATCTCCTTTATGTGGATTGAGTTGAAATATGTAATGTCCTTTTTGAACATTTGTTTGGACCTATTGAGCATTATATAATAAAATATATTTCTATCCATATCATTCATGTGTTTGTTGTGTGGTTATATTTTTTAACACTTGTTCAAAGGGTATTAAAGTAGCGGGTTGAGGATCTTATTTAGGTATATTTATGTATTGCTCACTCCTTACCTACATGTCTATGCATATATTTTTGTGGAGGGTGAGACTGTTGGCTGACGAGTACGTTCGCATCGGTTCTGTTTCTTAGGTGAGCCTGCACATTAATCATCGAGGCAGTTGTTTCATCTTTATCTATTTTATAGCGAATTTCTTCTTTTTCTTGGGGTTTGCATACCTGACAGCTGAACTCATGTAATTCTATT